GTCCGGGTGGCGCCGAAGCGGTCTGGGTCGAAGCCGCCGGGGGGACTCTGGTAGATGGCGGCCGTCTCATGCGTGTCACGGATGCTGTACATGACGCTCCAGCCTTTGGGGATCTGGTAGCCCTGGTGGCGGGGAAAGAAGAGGGGGGGGAGGAGCGTTACATACCTGTGCAGCCAGCTGTGTTAGTGGAGGGTGAGCAGAGGGTGCCTGGGGACAGCCCCACCACATTGCCCATCTGCTCCGCAGCTCCTTTTCTCCCTAGCCCAGCTGGAACCCACGGAGGTTGCTGGGTGCCACCTTCCCCTGAGCTACACTGCCAAGCACCACCACGATGCGGGACACAGGGTGCTTGCAGGCAGCGGCAGGCAGCAGCCCCCTAGCAGCCCGCCGGGGGGGGAGGCACTTACATCCAGTTCGAAAGTCTGCAGTGCTGTCCTGTAGCCTCCAGAGACGGGGGGCAGCACCCGCAGCACCTCCTTAATCACACAGTCCAGGTAGCGCAGGCGGCTCAGCTTCTCCAGGCTGATGTCCGAGGGGCAGTGACAGCTCTGTCCTGATGGTGCCCGGAGCTGGGGGCCAGCGCAGGGACTGCTCCAGGGGAGGGTGGGCTCCGTCGGGGTGTGGGGCTGGGGAGAACCTTCCTCCATTGGGCCCAGGGGCTGGCTCTGGTCCTCACGAGCATCTTTGGCCGTGGTGGGGAGAAGTGGCTTCTCGCTGTCCCTGCTCTGGGCAGTCAGGGTGTCTGGGCAGGGTCCCACAGGGCAGCGCTCACACTGCTGGTACAGCTCGTGGGACATCAGCTCCTGCCTTATTTTTTCAATCACTGAGGGGTGCTTCAGTAGCAGGAGGATCAGAGAGGTGCTGGCACTAGCCGTGGTGAAAAAAGCAGCAAATATGAGCTCAATCGCTGACTCCTGGGAGCGGAAGGAAGGTGACAAGTTTGAATGCCATTTTAAACTGGTTGTGATTCAGACTGTTCTCACCTTTTGCAGATTTTGTCCCTGTGCAGAGGGCCCTGCCCCCCCCCTGCTCTCCACAAACCTGCACCCACCCTGGATTGGCAGGGACCAAAACAAGACGCCCTTGTTCTTCCATTTCTGTATGAATTGGACATCCACTTGCCAAGTGACTGATGCAGAAACACAGCTGAGATGAGTACATATGACCTCCAATCCAGCTCTTCTGAGCTTTCCTCCCAAGATTTACAAATTTTAAAGAAGCATTTTAACATGCATTTTAGCATACTGAGTGAAGTTCATTTCAAGCATTACGCTTTTTACCTTCATCTGCCAATTCTCCTTTGCACCCAGCTTTTATCTTTCTGCCCAGCCAGGGGTTATGAGGCTGTGTGTTTATGCATAAATCCTAGATGCCCTGGCAGCTAAAATGGGTTGCATTTGATTCATCTCCAGTTATAATCGACCATTTGCTTATCTGGGAGGGGACTCAAACCAACAGAGTCGAAAGCAGAAAGACGTCCCTGCTATAGCAGGTCAGCCCAGGAGGTGCTGTAGCCAGCAGGGAGCTCTCCCGCAGGGATGCACACACCAGGCAAAGGACTTGCTCGCTTTTCAAGCTTTACAGCCTGAAGCACAGCAGTGCTCCTGATAGCTCTGTAGCAGAAGTGTCCCTAACAAGTTAGGAGGTTAACCAGCTCAGGTGGACCACAGCACAGTCAAATCCATAATATGTGCCTTGTCCCAGCTCATGGATCCCCATGCAGCCTCCCAGTCTTTCTGGGACTGTCTGCAGGGTCTATATGGCACAGCACGTGCCAGGTTGCTGCGGGCTGTTTGCAGCACCCTGTGATCAACTTTTGGAAATCATTTTCTGAAAGTTAAGGGTTGCCCGGAGCTGGGTTATGGCATGTCACGTCTCTGACAGCAAACATAATGCTCAAACTTACGGCACCATCTGAAGGTGCCAGCGGCTCCGTAGCACTGGGCTGGGAGCGCAGAGGCCAGAGGCCAGACCCAAAAGCCAAGGGAGAAGCCTGAGGGAGGAGCACAGGGAGCTGCCACTCTGGGAGGGTCTGGGACCTGGCTGGCACTACTGAGCACTAATCGCTACAGCCCAGGGGTAAAGCAGAGCAAAACCCCCCCGAGAAACAGAGCAGTTTCTTTTCACACAGCTATGTGTCTGGATTTTAAATTGTTTTGACACAACCGGTCTCTGGAGAGGTAAAGCAAAAAACACAGGGAAGGACACCTGAAGCCTGAAGATACCTGGAGCCAAGTCTGGTAAGGTCAAGGGTGATGTAACAAGGATTACTCTTTGCTACCATCCCCAGCGCCATATATTGGCTGGACTAGAGGCTTTTGCCGAAGTGCAGCTCTCAAGGGCATCTTTCAGCTGAAATAAAACCTCTGAAATAACAGATCCCTGTCGACCCCTATCACACCTCCTGCAGGCGTTAGCAGGAATTTTTACATTCAAAAGGTAGCAGACCCAGATGAAAAGAAATCTCTCCATTCCACCACTTGCAATTAAAACCCAAGACATTTCAATAACACGCAAGGAATTTAGGGCAGGCTCTGCGATTTGAAATAACAGCCCTTATGACTCCCTGCATCAACCTCTGACAGTGCTGCTACGTAAGCTGTTGACACCAAGCTGCTGACTTTCCCTCCCTGCTTTTACAAGGGCAACACAGCTGGTGGCTGGGAGGCAGCATCTTCCCACAGCTTCACCAGTATTGTCCCTGTGCTACAGCCCGACTCTCCGCCCTGGGAGGCAGGACTGGCGGCGTTACGGTTCCACTCACCCAGCCAGTGACAGCACTGTTATGTAGGATGGGTTTTTTTTTAATCTTTCCAAGGTTTTAAGTGTTTTAAAACAGTACTTTTGGCAAAGTGATATCTTTTTAATGACCTTTACATTTCAAGGGTCCTGCTGAGTTCATGCCAGCAGCGCAAATCACAGTGTATTTAGGAAAATTTCCAGGAAAACCATCCTTCAAAATCATTTGAACAAAAAGCAAATTAGTAACTAATGTGTGCCAGTGTTTGGAGTGTCTCTCCAAGTCAGATATATCCATGACTCTGAGACAGCTTTGGACTTTTTATCCAATTGTACCATTTCACTGGATGAGAGCTCTACTACTGTTTCATTAGAATGCAGAATATTGCCATAATTGCAAGCATAGGCAGTTCGGTTTGCAAGTCATTTTGTTAAATACAGACAAGGTAGAAATTTTCTAACTATAAAGGTACAGGACAGCATATGAATATACTATCATTTGAATCAGCTGGCCCGAGGTCACTGCCATGTCACTCCATGTTACATTTAATATCCCCTTATTCCATTTGTGGTCAGAGCCAGGGACATGATGAGAGATCATGTAATTATTCGTGTGTAATATCCATGTGAATACTAACAGAGATTAATCAATCTTAATCAATCACATTTTGAATCTGGCAATTATTTTTAAAAAATAATTATAATAAAAACCATTCTATTAGAATAAATAATATAATAAATAATTATAATAAAATTACTTTAAGAATATATGCTGGTTCTAATTGTATCTAATAGTTGCTGTAAAGTCTTTCAAATATTTTAGATTTAGAGATTACACTTTTACAAAATATTTATAAAACATTGGTCTTTAGATAGTTTTCCTTAAATACCTAAATAAATGGTAAAACTATGCATGTTCAATACTTTTAAACTATATTCAAATGCTTTTAAACTATATTCAGCTACTGTACCCATGCAAAACTGCTTCAAAACTTGTTATATAAATGCAGTGTCATCTGTCATTGACTGACACCAAGTGACCTGGAGCTATGAATGATGCAGTATTAATAACAATTTTTTCCCCAAGATCTTTGGCAAAGTACTCTTCACATTCAGTTGGTAGTTTTGGCTCAGTAAGGACTACCGGGTTCATCCATAAGTCACAGTGATGCATCATGTTGCATCACAGCAATCCACAAGCTAGATGATCTAATTAATGACGAGGTGATAGGGAATGACCCGGAATCCATCATTCCATCCTTGGACCCATTTTGATATATCATCTCAGAGGTTTCTGGGCTCACAGCCCTGAGGAATACGGTGACGTGACCTACATGCTGTGCTATGCCAGATGCTGGGGGATGTTTGAGGAGCACCGACTAGCCCTAAATATTTCCAAGATAGTGTCTTGGAGGTTACAGAGTGCACACTGACGTACAGAGCCTTAGCACTGCCACATAACCCTACCAGCATCCTAGGTCAGGCTGAAGCCTGGTGGCCATGAAGAGGAAAGGTAGAAGAGGCATTTATTCCCTCTTTAAATACCAGTTCTCTTCTATGCAAAGAGACACAATCCTACAAGAGCATATGAGCATGCCGAGTCCAGGCTTTCTTGCTTGCGCTGGAGATGGCGTCCTCAGAGTTGATAAGAGGAGAGCAGGAGCCAGTGGCTGGTGGTGGATCCCCACACAACCCCTGAGGGATCCCCCCCTCAGCCCAGTTCTCTCAAACAGCCACCGAGTCGGAAGGGACACTGCAAGGGGGGGTTCTCCTTACCTTTAGCTCCTGCATGGTGAATTCTTTGCCGTGCTCCTTGGCACTGTTTATTATGAAATCCAGAGCATCACTGTGATCTTCTGAGTTGTTTCTCTGCAGTTTTTCCTGTATAGCCTTCTCCATAAACTCATGTAGCATGTCCCGTGCTTTGATTCCCTGCAGGAGGCAGACACAGTTCAGGAGAGCCTTAAGGAACTGCCCCCCTCTCCAGAGAGACCGGGGGACCCCAAGTGTGGCAATCCTTAATCCCAGGATCTGTAACAGCAAGGACTGTTTAATCTGTTGCCCAGCCCCAGAGCCTTGCAAGAGGCAACAGTTCGGGGGGAACTGCTGCAAATTCTGTTGCCTTGCTGTTGTGAATCAAATACAAGTCCTAAGAAACACTCTGAGAGGAAAAGACAGCAGTAAACCCACGATACCGAGTCCAGAGGCATCTGCGCTGAACAAACCCATGGTCGTGTCAGGTCCAAAAGAAGCTTGTCAAAAGGGACAAGAAGAGGTAACTTAACAAAACTGAGTCCAAGCAGCAAGGCACATCTGAGACACAAACAAATGAGTGGCTTTATCAGTGTATAGTAGATAAAGACACATTGATCACACCCAGCTCATCTCCAGTTGCGTTGCACTCCTGTGCAGCAAAACATTTAGGTAAGATCTCAGCAAGTCAAGTGATCAGCAATCTCTTTGCAAAGTGGGATGGATGGAGTCACAGAGCGTGTGGCTCTGTATCAAGATGCCTCCTGCAAAAGCCAGAAGGATCAGAGATTTGGGATGCAAAATGGCCATGACCAGATGTTGGGAAGAAGATACAAAGGCTGAGATTTGAGGTGGCAAGGATTGGACAAAGGAAACAGGGCAGGGAGCAAGGGGACCTAAATGCAAGTTGAAGAGGTTGGTCTGGGCCCAGACAGGCTGTGGCTGACCCGAGAGGGCATGGAGGAATAGAATGGGGGGTGAAAGCTCACACTGGTGAGAACCTGCAAAGGGAAACTGGACAGAGAAAACAAGAGCTTTGAACTGGTGGAGAAGAGCAGCAGGGAGGCTGGGGGAGAACTGGGACTGGCTGGGCAAGGTGAGCTGGTGGGGCAAAGCTCAGTGGAAAGAAAAGGTTGGGGAAGACCTGGCTAAAAGGGGCAGGAGACTTGAGCTGTGGTAAGGGTGGAGAACCCAAAGCCAGAGGAGGGAACGCAGACTGAAATGGGAGAGGAGGGGTGGGACACAGGACCGATACCTAGAGCAGGAGTGTGGGGAGACAGGCAGAGAGGGGCAGGGCAGCAGGGAAGAAACTGCGGATTGAAAGAGGCAGAGGAGACTGTTCCTCTGCCATGTTCCCCTCCAGGACCCCTCGCTGTCTCTCTGCTGCTGGGGGACAAGGAACCAAGGACCATAAGAGGTCTCAAGTCTTCAGCCTGCCCTGAGGTGCACAGGGAGTGCTAACCTGAGGTGTGCTGTGCCCACCTGCCTTTGTGCTCATGCCCACAGACCCCTCTGCCGTGGGCTGACATGAGTCCAGGCAGGATGAGATGGGACAGGACCACACATGATGGACTAACCAGAGCCAAGAGAGGCAACATATGGGGTGAGGGAGGAGAGGAGCCCTGTGCTGTACAATGAGCTGGAGCCAGTGCCTGGAGGTGCTGGAAGCCAACCAGGAACAGGTGAGAAGTGCAGAGAGAAGGGGAGACAGCTGGGGTGGGCAAGACACCAGGCCCTCAGACCTGGAACAGTGTGCTGCAGATGTCCTGGCCCATCAGAACTGTCCCTTGGCGGGCCTGGGGACAGGGGTTCTGTGCTGCTGGGGCCTGGGCCTCTGCCCCCAGGCAGAGGGAGCGGGGCAGGCGGCAGTACCTTGCGCAGCCCGCTGAAGGGTATGTTGAGGGGCAGGGAGAAGAGGTTCTCCACCAGCTGTTCAAAAGTTTTGGCCAGGTCCTTGAACTGCTTTTCCTCCAGGTGGAGCCCCAGCAGAATCCGAGCTGCAATGCGGAAAGTTAAGGTTTTAGCGGAGGAATAAACTGCGATGGAGCCCGGCTCCATGCACCAGCCCCGCAGCTCCCAGCTCACAACCTTCTGGATCCGCGGGAGGTAGCTCTCCAGGGCGGCGCGGCTGAAGACTCTGGCCAGGATCTAGGAGGAGAAGGGGGGGAACAGAGGCAGGGG